TGTTTCTCAAGTCAGCTTAGGAGGAGACCCCAAGTCCGCTTAGGAGGAGAGCCCAAGTCTGCTTAGGAGAGAGAAGTCAAGTCCGCTTAGGAGAGAGAAGTCTCCCCAAGAAAAAATGCTTCCCTTTTTAAGGACTTCTGCCATCCACCTACATACAATTCTTTTCAGACTTCTCACCCTCTTGGCTGGTGGTTTAATCTCCGGCCCCAGAATTGGGGAGACACCGCAGGGGGGACAAGAAGAAGCATCTAGCCTTAGGGGGGATCAAAGTCATGGTGCTTCAGTGAGCGAGCCCTTATCTGAGCCCTATCAAGAGCTTTATAGCACTGAATTGTTTTCAGTAAACATTATCTCACAGCTGCCTGCTCCCAGGCCGAAGGGGAAGTGGATTTCTGCTCAAGGTCTGGTGTCCCCACATGACTCTTTGGAGATAGGAGTCACTATGACAGAGTCACAGGCAAGGCACTATGACAAGCATTTGTTCATGGTATACACGTGACCAACAGAGAGTGGAAATGTCTGCTTTCCCCTGGGCACTGCTGTTCCATTGCTGTGGAGAGAACCATGACCAAGGCAACTCTTCTAAAGAAAGCATTTAATTGGTGGATGGCTTACGGTTTCAGGGGACTGGTGCATTCTTATCATGGCAGGAAGCATGGTGGCAGCAGGCAGGCACAGGTCTGAGAGTTTACAGCCTTCCCAGTACACAGGCAGGCAGGCAGGCAGGCAGGCAGGCAGGCAGAGACCGAGAGGTTGGGCCTGACACGGGTGTTTGAAACCACAAACCCAAGTCCCAATGACACACTTCCCACAAGGCTACACCTCTTCCAACAAGACGACACCTACTGATCCTCCCAAACAGTTCCGCTCCCTGGTGACTAAGCATTCAAAGAGAGCCCGTGGGGGCCGTTTTCTGTCAAACCACCACAGGAACCCTCTTCTCTATAAAGCCTATATAAAGAGGGTGGCCCGTGGTACCTCCTCTGTTATTTAAAGGATGCCTTTGTTTTCAGGATGATGTGAAAACTTAATAGCAATTTGTAATTGTGTCTAGAGTAACCCCAATACCATGTCTGTGGAGGAAGTCCTGTGCATTTGTCAATAAAGCACTGCTGGCCAATAGGAATCTAGATAGGTTGGGACTAGGAGTCCAGGAGGACTCTGGGAAGGAGAAACACGTAGAGTCAAGATGTAACGCCATGGGGTAGGAAGCCCGGAACTATTCTCTGGTAAGAGAAATACTTAGATTAACAATTATGGGGTAATTACTTAAGTCAGAGCTAGCCAGTAAGAAACAAGCAAGGCCAACAGCTTCATAATTAACATAGCCTCCTGTGTGTTTATTTGGGACTAATGCGGCTCTAGAACCAGGCTGGCGGGAAGGCTTCTCTCAAGGAAAAGGTTTCCCTTTACACATGTCCAAGTTAAGAGAAAATCTATCTGTTTCTTAGTTGTGCCTTATATGATAAGGCTCTGAAATTGCCAACATTTACTGCTTTGACTTGCCAAAATAGCCCTTTACATCACTCAGCCTAGTAGAACCCTGTGGCCATTTTCCTTCATCTATCAGAATAAGTTATTCTTTTGTGGCGAAGTTGCGTGCGATTGATGCAAGCAGACCTGGATTTGGACCCTCACTCTTTGGCTCTGCAGCTGTGTGCACTGAGAGCTCCCTGGATTTGGACCCTCACTCTTTGGCTCTGCAGCTGTGTGCACTGAGAGCTCCCTGCCTGTAAAATGCACATCAGAGCAATACTTCTCCCATGGGGCTGCTGGGAGGTGAAATGATACAGCTATAAAATATCTCATGACCTCTGGCACGTAGTAATTGCTCCCACCAATGCTTATTATGACACCAAAAGCAGGGAAAGATAGTAGCATGTTAAGGTCAAGTGGTGTTAAGTCATGGGTCTCGGGTCATTCTCCTGTGCTGTGGAAAACTCCCCAACAAAAAGCAATCCAAGAGACAAAGGGTTTATTTTGTTTCACTGTTCCAGGGTACAGTCCGTCATGGCAGGGGAGTCAAGGCAGTAGGAGCTTGAAGTGGCTGGTCACATGACACCCACCGTCAGGAAGCAGACAAGGACGACTTCTAGTTCCAGAGTGTTCTATCTGCACTGTATACAGTCAAGCATCCCCACCTAGGGAATGGTCCCACCCACAGCTATGATCGGTTTTCTCACGTCAATTCACATAACCACAGCCATTGTCAGAGGCTTGCCTCAACCTGCATATCCCTCATGAGGGTGCCTGAGGCGTATCTCCTAGGTGACTATAGATTCTATCAGGTTAACAGATAACACTCTTACAGCATAGTAAGGTCATGTGATATCAAGTAGTGAGGTTGGCACCATGTTCTTGCCCGCTGTCCTGAACTGAGATGTGCAACCTTAGCCCAGTGGTGGTGGTGCACGCCTTTAATCTTAGCACTCGGGAGGCAGAGGCAGGCGGATCTCCATGAGTTCGAGACCAGCCTGGTCTACAAGAGCTAGTTCTAAAACAGGTTCCAAAGCTACACAGAGAAAACCAAAATAAATATAAATAAATAGAAAAATGATATGCAACATTGTAACAACAGCAGAGTTAGGTGGGGGTGGACCATGGCCCCCTGTGGTGAATGTCTGAGGCCTGTCCTGGCTGTCCTTTGTGGAGTGTGTCCTTTAAGGATGGAGGTTCTAGAATGGCATGTCATTGCTGAATACTCAGACTTCAGAAAGGGATGCCATTAAGTGTAAGGGACAAATGGCTCTGGCCCATACGTAATATTCAAGTTTTCTGTTTCTCTGGAAATTGGCTGGCTTCTGTTTGCTGTATTTCCTGTGTACCAGCCAGTTCGAAATGAAATGCTTGTGCTGTGATTTTAAAATCAGGCACATCCCAGAGACTCCTCACACTGGGCTCTTGCCAGTCTTCAACACACAATCTGTGACTCTAATCACGGCGACGGATTGGGAAAATCTGTTGTAGAGGAGGAAACGAAAGAGCCAAAGGCATGGCGGGTCACATCAGCTCTCTGTCACATCAGCTCTCTGTCACATCAGCTCTCTGTCTCGTTTGCGTTGTGGAGCAGGGAAGTGTTTTCTTGATGAGGCCTTTCACACTTACCTGGCGATCATGTTCATACACACAAAGGATCAGAGAAGCAATACATCCAGACCTTAAAGGGACAATCTGTCCAGCTGGCCTGGGCTGGATTTGCCCTCATGCCTCTGTGAGACCCTTGAGTTAATGCACATTGTGTTGGAAAACTGTCAGACACTGTTTGTCTTGCTTTTCCATTGCTGTGAAGAGGCACCACAACCAAGGCAACTTATACAGGAAAGCATTGGTCATAATTTCAGAGTGTCAGTATAGTCCATGACCATCCTGGTAGGGAGAGCGACAGCAGGCGAAAGCATTGCCACTGGGAGCTTGATCATAATTTCAGAGTATCAGTATAGTCCATGACCATCCTGGTAGGGAGAGAGACAGCAGGCAGGCACGGCACTGTAGCGGTAGCCAAGAACGCACATGCTAAGGCAATGCCCACAAGGCAGAAGAAAAGCTAACTGGAGATGGCAAGGGCTTTTGAAACCTCAAAGCCCACCCCCAGTGGCAAACCTTCTCCAACAAGGCCATGCCTCCCAATCCTTCTTAATCAGTTCCATCGACTGGGGACCAAATATATGAGCTCATGGGGGCCATTCTCATTCACACCCCCACACTGTTTGATGTCACTGAGAAGCTGAGACTGGAAACGGGGTTGGAGCCCACCCCCATTTCAAAGCAACCCCAGCTCTACCTAGGTATAGCTGGCCTCTCTTGCCTTTGACAGGAAGAAAGAATGACAAGTATCTAAGAGTATTAAAAAAACATTGTGGTACTGAGAACAGCTAGGGTAAGTCATTTCCCACAAGAGTGATTGTTGTGTCTTCCTTAATAAGAAAGTTCCATCGGTGGAAATGGAAGCCTGCACCTCGGCCATAGGAAGCTCATCTGTGGGAAGATAGTTCTCAATCGAGAACACTGGCTGACTGCCTCGGTTTCTCCAATAGGACTTATTCGATGACATTCTCTGTCTGTTGTTTGTTCTTTTACTTGGCAGCTTCACCCAAGAGGACATTCTGCTGCACCATGACCCTCCATCTGCTTGAACCCCAGCTGGCTCCCTCGGTGGGACATCTCTAGCTGATTTCTGCTGGATGAGTATAGGTGGCCAATTTGATAGTGTTTTGCTGTCTCGAGGTGTTTGATTGCACTGTGTAAAGATACGTTTGTGATTGGTTTAATAAAAAGCTAAATGGCCAATAGCTAAGCAGGGGGGGTATAGGTGGGACTTCCGGACAGAGAGAGCTCTGTCTGGGAGGAAGGATAGGGAGTTGCCAGCCAGGCATAGAGGGAGCAGGGCATGCAGGAAGAGTGGTAAAAAGCCATGAGCCACATGGCAACAATAGATGAATAGAAATGGGTTAATTTATCAGTGCTAGTGGGACAAGCCTAAGCTATAGGCCAAGCTTTCATAATTAATAAGAAGTCTCTGGGCCGGGCGTTGGTGGCGCACGCCTTTAATCCCAGCACTTGGGAGGCAGAGGCAGGTGGATCTCTGTGAGTTCGAGGCCAGCCTGGTCTACAAGAGCTAGTTCCAGGACAGCCTCCAAAGCCACAGAGAAACCCTGTCTCGAAAAACCAAAAAAAAAAAAAAAAAAAAAAAAAAAAGAAGTCTCTGTGCTATTTTTTGTGACCCAAACAAAAAGGCTGCTACAACTACTTGCTATTTATTCTTTTAATTACTATGTATTTAATAAACTCATTCATGAAAAAAGAAAACCAAAAGCGTGGCTATTACAGGTCATTCCTTGTTCAGATCATACAGAACACTTGGCAAGCTCTTTGAGTGTTCTCTGCCTCTATTTCCTCTAGGTTTGAGGTAATAATGGAAACTCTCTGGTTACTAGTGTTAAAATTACTAGAATAACACACTCAGAGCAATGAAACTTCCCAGGCCTTAAAATTCTTTGAAATGACCACATGAAATTATTTATTTTAGAGCCTTAAACTTCCAGGAACCATTCAGGTTTAGGGAAAGCTATTTGGAAAATCATGTAGAGAATTTGGGCTTCTTGATTAGTGTATTTATGCATAGTTCAGACCAAAGATCTAGCTGGATTGTAGTCACCAGCATTTGATGACAGTCATGGGAAAGTTGACAGGCTCCTGTAACCCAGGCTCTAGGACCCTGTCCTTCCTAAGACAGACTTCAGTCCCAAAGTGGAGTGTGAGGAAAACATCTCTTGGTGCTTAGGAGGCCATTCTGAGTGCTGGGCTGTGTGACTTGGGGGCAAAGGCCAGCTGGAGAGAATTCAGAGTTGTCATCAGTGGAGTCTACTGAAGCCATCCTTGAGAATCCTTGGTCCATCTGGGCCTGCAGCCTCCCTTCTCTGTTCCCCTCTGGGTCAGAGGCACACCCGTCACTCCTCTCTCTGCAGAAACTAGAGGAAATCGTAACCGATGCGCTAGAGTTCTCTTAGAGCATCACCCAGGGGATGGGGAAGGACCAGAGCCCTTAGAACTCAGCTTTCTGACTGTGCTGGTGGCACGCGCCTGCAATCCCTTCCACAGGAGGATTAGGACTCCAGGGAAGTGGAGGCTACATACATTATCTATTAAAACCAGTTTTTGATGGAAGATGTAATTCTGTAAATCTTATTGGTTGTTGAATAAAGCACTGTTGGTCAAGGAGGATTCTGGGAAAGAGAGGCAGAGTCAGACACGATGTAGCCGCCAGAGGAATAACAAGTCTGGACCCTTTTCTCCGGTAAGAGAAATACTTAGATTAACAATTACGGGTTATATAAATAAGTCAGAGCTAGCCACTAAGAAACCAAGCAAACGGCCAACAGCTTATAATTAACATAGCGTCCTATGTGTCATTTGGGGGTTCAGACAGCGCAGCAGGGCCCAGGAGACTAGCAAGGAAGACTACACTCTACAAGTTTTTTAAATTATACAACTTTTGCCGGGCGTTGGTGGCACACGCCTTTAATCCCAGCACTCGGGAGGCAGAGGCAGGCGGATCTCTGTGAGTTCGAGGCCAGCCTGGTCTACAAAGTGAGTTCCAGGACAGCCTCCAAAGCTACAGAGAAACCCTGTCTCGAAAAACCAAAAAAAAAAAAATTATACAACTTTTATTTGAACCTTCAGTTTGGTTTTCACTGATATGTAAAGTGTTAGGCTGCTATGGAGGTTTTTATTTAACCCTCCAGGGGTTATGGAGGTACAGCAATTACATCCACCCACTGGAGCAGTCAGGAAGAGGTTAAAGAATTTATTATTATTGTTATTATTATTATTGTTGTTGTTATTATTATTATACAAATCCCACAGCTATGGTGGAGGAAGGTAAGCCAAGCATCATGTGTTGCACTGGCTCACTCCACCTAAAGTCTGCATTCTCTTTGCCTTGCAATTTCCCCCACTCAGCACCCTCTTATGACCTACAGGTGGAAGGGAAGGGGGAAGTCATCCCGGGACTCGGCCAGTGGATTGGGTGTCAGCTTCCAGCACTGGGAGATCGGAGTTTAGTCTTCGGGCTGGCTATAATTAGCCAAGTGGGACCGCTGCTGGGAGCTGTACACAGCGGCGCTAAGCAGAGGGGGTATTCAAGTGAAGGCAAGCACAGGTCTGCTGTCTCCCGCCGGGGACTAAAAGAGAGCAAGTGGAAAGGAGGGCTTGACCCTGGCCTAGATGGCTACAGGTGTTTGCCGTTTTATTCTTGGAGAATCCTATCGCTAGTTCCTGTCTAGTTCACTATTCCAAAGTTGTTGTCCCCTTGGGGTGGAGTGAGGGGCTGACAGCCCGGTGAACTGAAGACAGTTGGAGGGGGGGGAAACCTCTGGTCTCTCCCCCCCCCGACGAGGATCCCGGCTTACTTTCCCTTTCTCTGGCAGAGCCTGACTCCAGCCCCTTGGTTTCAGGAAACCTTCCCTTTCCAACGTCGTCCCTGGAGAAGGGGAAGAAACAGGATGACAGCGACGACTCTGCGGAGCCTGAGGTGCTGTGCAGCTTGGAGCACCCCGGGCAGTTCTTCGCTGAAGCCCAGAGGCTGCGGGAGCAGAAGCTGCTGCTGGACGAGGAGGTGTCAGTAGGGGGCCAGGTATACGGGGTGCATCGGGTGATCCTCGCTGCAATCAGCAGCCTCTTCCAGGGCAGGCTGAGCGGCGGCGGAGGTCAGCAGCCTCGCCTCTGCCTCGACGTGACCCGGAGGGGCTGGGAGGCTGCAATGACCTTTGCGTACGAGGGGGTGCTGGGGGGCCCCGCCTCGCAGGGCGAAGTGCTGGCTGCTGCGGAGGCGCTGGGAGCGCCCCGGGTGAAGAACGCGGTCCGGCTGCGGCCGGAGGGGCTCGGCAAGGCCGGGGGAGACGAAGAGAAGCTCAGCCGGGCAGAGGAGCTGCGGGAGAACCTGCGCAGCATTGAGCGCCTGTATCGAGAGGGCATCGGGTGCGACCTGGAGCTGGAAGCCGAGGGCTACCGCCTGCGCGGTGAGGGCCTAGGGGCAACTGCTAAGAATGCATGTCGCGGGGTTCTGCTTGTTTTGCGAGGCAAAGGATGGAACCTAAGTCCTCACTTCCCTTTTACCTCTGGACCACACCCCCAGTGCTGTGCCGGAGTTCGGATCATTTCTCCGGCAAGAACGTCTCTTTTTTTTTTTTTTTTTGGTGCCTTTCCAGCGCCACCAAGAGATGCACATGCGCAGTTGCATTGTTTTCCTAGACGCCCGGACAGATTTGAAAGGAAAGTTCATGCGCTTTCCCCCCACCCCTGCCCAGTAGCTAGATCTCCAGCCATCTGGCTGGGGCTTCCAGTACAGTCCATGGCAGTCAAACAAGCAGAAAGTAACTGGCTCAGATTAACCGCAGGCCCTTGACACACAGAAGAGGCGGTCGGTAGGTGTGTTGACTCTGGCCACAGAGTCCAGACCAGCGGTTCTCAACTTCAATGCAGCGGCCCTTTAATATAGTTCCTCGTGCTGCGGTGATCCACAACCATGCAGTTATTTTCGTTGCTACCTCATAACTGTGATCTTTCTACAGTTGCTGGGCGGTGGTGACCACCCCTGCTTTTGATCCCAGCCCTCGAGAGGCAGAGGCAGCTGAATCGCTGAGTTTGAGGCCAGCCTGGTCTACAGAGTGAGTTCCAGGATAGCTAGGGAAACATAGAGAAATCCTGTCTCAAAAAATAAAAAAACAAACAAACAAAAATTTGCTAGCGTTATAAATCATAATGTGTTTTTGGATGGTTTTAGGCTACCCCTTTGAAAAAGTCATTTGACCTCCGCGGGGTCGCGACCCACAGGTTGAGAACCACTGCTCTGTACCGTGCAGTACCTGTTACTCAGTTATTCCGCTATGTGTCTGACCTGGAACATGTCGTCTGCATGCGACACGACGAAGTTTAAAGTTGCAATAGGCTTGTTTAGAGATACCTAGTTCGGGACTCACACTTCAGCAGTGAAGAAACCAAGCCAGGTTGGGGGGCTCATGCCTGTGATTCCAGCACTAGTGAGACTGAACAAGAGTACTGCCCAGAGGTTAGGGCCAACCTGGGCTACACGGCGAGCTCTAGGCTGGTGTGGGCCTATCTCACAAACCAGAATGAAAAAGGAAAGAAAAAACAAGGCTAGTATGGCCTTGGGACAGATACCTGTAGATGATACCAAAGGATGATTGACATGACTTCAAGGCCAGCCTAGGCTGACTCCAAGCCATGCCCAGTCACACCATTAAGTTCTTAGGGGGGGCGGGTACTCTAGAAGAAAAGCTATCATTAAAGGCTTTCTGCCTCATGGCATTAGCTGGAGAGTGATGATTTACAGTGTCGTAATTGTAACATTCCCATGAAGGTTTGGGGTTCCCACATATTCATAAAATCATATGGGGACTCATCACTTTAAATCTTAGAGTACAGCAATGAGTAAGAGGGAGATTCCAAGAGGCTGTGGGCTTCTCACAATTGAGTCTCAGAGACACATGTTGGTTGGTGATATGGAAACTGAGCTGATTTAGCTCATTTCTCAGAATGCAGATTTTCCTCAGACCACATAGACTAGGAAGCTGTAACTGATATTTATTATGTTTGGGACACACCAAGCCACTACCTACTGCTTAAAGAGACGCTAAAAACATTGTTATTGACAGTTGTCCTCTGAAAGGCACACATTCTGCCGCTGGTCAAAACAGAATGAAATTCATAAGATTCTCAGGGATGCAGAGGCCTGACTAAGACTTCCTGAGGCAGTTTCTAGCAGTGTTCCTCTTTCTCTCATGAAATACTTCAGACGCAAAGAAGAATGAACACTCAAGCATTTATCACACTGGCTTAGCAATTAATACGCTGCTATGTCTATGTATTTCTGCTTGGCATTTTACTGAGGGCTATGCATTTTAAAACAAAGGAGGGGGCTAGAGAAGTGACTCGGGGTTAAAAGCTCTTCTTAGTCTTCCAGAGGACCCAAGTTCGGTTCCAAGCATTCTCAATTGGGCAGACCACAACTGTCTGGCCTCCGAGAGAACCCATGCTCCCATGCACCTACCCATACATAGACACACTTGGAATACTAAAAACAAATCTGTAGAAGGGGTATTTGAGCTTTTGCTTTCTGTTTTGTTTTTCATTTTGATAAAGAGTCTCAGCAAGTTACCCAGGTTGATCTTGAATGCATTCTTCAGCCCAGGCGGGCTTTGAACTCGTGATCCTCTTGCCCCCATGTCACTGGGGTTACAAAGCCTTCAACACAAAGTCCATTCTTTTTAAAAACAAACAAACAACAACACTCTTCTATACTCAGAAAACATCGCATTTAATTATTCATGTATCTGAAAGTGTGTGTGAATATAAACAGCAGGACATTTCAGTACTAGAGTGTTTGTGGAGTCAGAGGGCAGCTTAGAGAAAGGAGCCCTCTCCTTCCATGTGGGTCCCAAGGTCAGAACTCAGGTCATTGGTCTTGATGACAAGTCCCTTTAGGAACTGAGCCATCTTGCCTGTTGATTTCTTTCTTTTCTTAAAGGCTTATATGTTTTGTGTGTTTGTGAATTCCTGCATCTATGTTTGTCATGCGCCATGTGTGTGCCTGGTGCCTTCAGAGGCCAGAAGAGAGTGTCCGGTCCCCTAGAACTGGACTTATAGGTGACTGTGAGCTTCTGGGCGGGTGCTGGAAACCAAACCTGGGTCTTCTGCACCAGTAGCAAGCATACCATCACGCCTGACATGGGTATAGCTATTTTGATTGGATGGCTGATGGCTGTAACTCTTGCAGCTATAAATGGAAACTCCTTATTTTGTTCACAGTGCAGTGATACCTTTCTGAGTTCACTGCTCTGTTCAGCTTATTTTGTATCCTATTAACAAGTGTTGTGTATAGGATTTTCTCAACTGGATTCATTAAGACTGTTTTTTTCTTGCGGTAATGCTACACACCTTTAATCCCAGCCCTTGGGAGGCAGAAGCTGGAGGCTCTCTGTGAGTTTAAGACTTTAAGACCAAGCTGGTCTACAGGGCAAGTTCCAGGACAGCCAGGGCACTATAGAGGAAACCCTTGACTGGAAAAACTAAAACAAACAAGCAAGACTTTTTTCTAGCTGACATGGGCCTAAAACACTAAAGTGTCCTCCAGACACTAACATGAGAATAATACAGGGTTATTGAAATTTTTAAAATAAAGGTTGGGTACAGTAGCACATGTCAGGTCTCTACAGTAAGTTCTAGGCCAGCCAAGACTACATAATGAGACCCTGTCTCCAGAAAGAAAGAGAAAGAAAGATATTAAAGCAACGACTCCCTCCCCCACCAAGTTACTATGTAGACCTTGGGATCATAACCCAGGGAGGTGCAGGGAGGGGTCTGAAAGCTCCAGTTTGCTTGTTTATTTATCCATTGAGCACTGGGGAAGGAGGAATCCAGGCTTTGCACATGCTGGACAGGTGTTCCTCGCTGGACTAGTCCCCAGAATGAAAGCTGAAAGCATTCCACGCTATTCCAGTGTACACCATACCATGGCTTGGCCTGTGCCCTTGGGTGATTGGTCAAAGTGGGGCTTACAAGTTAGCTGCCTTGCAACAACAGATTGGGTTTCCTTTGCCTCCACTGCAGTGCACCGAGTAGCCCTGGCCTGTGGCAGCGAGTTCTTTGGGGCCATGCTTCTGAGTGGGATGAGGGAGTCCCAGGGCACAAAGGTGTGTCTGCATACCATCTCTTCCCAAGACCTGAGATTCCTCGTTTCCTTTGCCTACTCTGGAGTTGTACGAGAAAGATGGCCAGGACTGCTAAGAGTCGCCCAGGCTGCGCTGCAGTACCAGAGCTCCTCCTGCCTGGATTTGTGTCAGAGAGCCTTGGCTCAAAGCCTCTGCCCTGCCCTTTGCCTGGCTCTGTTTCCTATGGTTGAAGCCCCTGGACTGGAGAAAGTCTGGGGGAAGGCCCATCGTTACCTCCTCAGTCATCTGCCCGCTGTGGCCTTGTGCCCTGCTTTCCCGTCGCTGCCGGCTACCTGCCTGGCTGAGCTCTTGGATAGTGATGAGCTCCACGTACAAGAAGAGTTCGAGGCTTTCACGGCTGTGCGGCGTTGGCTGGCTGCCAACCCCGAAACCCAGGAGTCGGAGGCCAAGGCCCTGCTGCGATGTGTCCGCTTTGGCCGCATGTCTACCAGAGAGCTGAGGAAGGTGCGGGCAGCTGGGCTCCCTCCACCTCTGTCCTCGGACCTGCTGTACCAGCTGATGGTGGAAGCCGAAATTCCAGGACAAGAGAGGTGGAGGCAGCCTGACCAAGCGCTGGTGGTGATCGGTGGGGATGGGCTCAGACCGAACATGGACCGAAGACAGCCATCTCGCAAAGTGTGGTGGGCCCGGGCTTTCCACTGTGGCATGGGTCTGGTAAGATCTGTGGAATGGTGCCGGCTGCCTGCCCTGCCTGCCCCGGGGCGCTTTCGGCATGGAGCTGCCAGCCTAACAGGAAGTGAACTCTATGTGTGTGGGGGACAGGATTTCTACAGCCATGCCAACACTCTGGCTTCAACTCTCAGGTATCATCCATGCGGGCGAGCAAAGAGAAAATGCTAATCCAGCCAGCCGTAGGCTCTGAGGGTCACCCCTTTTGTATCTTGTCCAGGTGGAGCTCCAGTCAAGAAGACTGGGAGGAAATGGCACCTTTGGGCCAGGCTCGGAGCTTCTTCCCTCTGGTGGCGTTCGACGGAGAACTTTATGCCCTGGGTGGACGGGACGATGGTGTTGCCCTTAATTCCGTCGAGGTCTATAACCCTGAACTCAATGTCTGGAGGTAAGCTGCCAAATGGACATCCGGGGAGTGTGAAGCCGGGCGTAGGGGCACACATCTGTGATCCTGGCACTCAGACGCAGAGGCGGGAGCCTAGGCGGGATAGCAAGACCTACCTCGAAATAAAGCGAGGTAGAGTTGGGCACTCTGGCTGCCTGACCTGATGCTCTGCTCTCCCGTAGGCCGGCACCTGCTCTCCCAGGACCACGCTTTGCCCATGCAGCTGCTGTCCTCGAGGGCCGATTGTATGTAAGCGGTGGCTGTAGCGGGACCGGCCAGTGCTTGGACTCACTGATGCTCTATGATCCCAAACTTGAGCAGCCTGGGACACTTTTGAGCCCAATGGGAGCAGCTCGGGCTGGTCATGTGATGGCTGCTCTGGGTGGGAGGTTGTATGTGGCAGGTGGGGTAGGCGACACCGGGGACCTACTGAGCTTTGAAGTCTATGAGCCAAAGACCGATAGCTGGACCCACCTGGCCCCCCTGCCCTCCCCCCACGTGGGGGCTGCAGGTGCTGTGCTGCAGGGGGAGTTACTGGTGCTGGGGGGCTATAGCCACCGTACTTACGCCATTTCCCACCTCGTCCACGCCTACTGCCCCGGTCTGGACCGCTGGCTCTGCCTGGGAACTCTGCCGAAGCCTCGGGCTGAGATGCCTGCCTGCATCCTGACGTTGCCCAGCGTGCGGCACATAGCTTTGGTTCCTACCCAGCACCAAAACAAACCTGCTGGGTGACTGAGAGTCAGCAGCGCATGGGGGAGGAAGGGATGAGAAAACCGTGACAAAAGGACAGGAATTACGAGAGGATAAAAGAGTTGTGCTTGCTTGCTTACTTTTAAAAAGCATCAAAAAAATATATCATTAGGGAGGTTCTTGTTATTGTAGCTCTGGCTGGCCTTGAGCTTGATGTATAGCCTAAGCTGGCCTCGAAGTCCTGCCTCCTGCATGCACTAGCCCTCCTTAATTGAGAGGTCTGATAATGATGATGGTGGTGATGGTGATGATGATGATGGTGATGATGGTGATGATGATGATGATTGACAGGGTCTTGTGTATCCCAGGCTGACTTACAACTCCCTATGTCATCAAGAATGACTTTGAGCTCTTAATCCTCCTGCCTCCATCTTGAAAGAATTGGGTTCACAGGCATATATTACCATACCTGATTTGTGTTAGAGATCAAACTCAGGACTTCTTGCATGCTGAGTAGGTACCAAACCAGCTTAACTACATCCCTAACCCTAAAAGAAGGCTTTGTTCCTTTTTGTTTGCTTGTTTTGTATTTAAATTGTTTAGTATTTATTTATTTTATATGTATGGGTATTTTGCTTGCGTGTATAACGTGAACCAAGTGTTTACCTGGTGACTGCAGAGGCCAGAAGAGGGCAGCAGATTCTGTGGAACTGGAGTTACAGTTGGCTGTGAGCAACCGTTTGAGTCCTTGAAACCGACCCCTGGGTCCTCTAGAACAGCAGCAAGTGCTCTTAACCGCTGAGCCATCTCTCTAGCCCGCATGTTGTGCTTTGAGGCAGACTCGTTATGTAGTGCAGACGGGAATGCTTGATTCTTATCAGTATTTTACTCCACCCTGGACCTTGCAGCTCATACAATGTCTTATCTTGACAGTTCTGGAACTCATGGGAAATGGGTCTTGGGAGAAGGGCTGGCAAATGAATACCCCGGGAAGACAGGCAGGCAGGAAGAACTCCACAAGGATTGATGGTTAGTTGGGAGCTAAAGCCGGAGCTCATTGACGGAGGGCCTCCTTAGCATAGGTAAGGTTCTGGTTCAATAATCCCTGGCATCAAAAATAAATCAAAGCTACAGAAACCAAACTTCAGCGGTCAAAACATAGGGACCAGGAAAGGACCCTGGGGCAACTGGAAAACTGATGGAGGAATGTGTGGAATGAGTTAAACAGTCCTCCCTTTGCTGACACGTTCCTGTTTTACTCTCCCGTCTCAGGAGACCTACATCCTCCTAACAACATTCTTTCTAGGGTAGGTTTGTAGGTCCATCTGGCTCCAGAGGCTGCCTGTAGAGTCTTTTGGTTCCCACGTGAGACGGACATCCCCGTTAGGTCTAGACATGGCGGTGCACACTGGGAACCCTGGCTTTTGAGGGTTGGGAGCAGGAGGACTTGAGGTCATTTTAAGAGAGCAAAAAAAAAAAAAAAAACAAACAAACCAACAAAACAAACAAGAACACCAAGAAGGAGACGCTCCCATCAGGATTTGGACTGCGCACCTGGGGACCTGAGGCCGGGGTGAGATGGGAGTATTCATGGGGGGAGGGAGGAGAAAGACAGAGGCCAAGGAGACAGACTAGTGTCCATGGTGGAAACTGGGACGTATGAGGCTGAGAAGATGGAAGAATCCGTGTCTTTCCTCCCCTTTGATGAGCTCAAGAATCAGGACTAGAAAAGGGACAATTGTGTGAGGTCCTCTGGCCGAGGAAATCGAAGGCCAAAAGACTGGGAGAGCAGTTTCTTCTCGTCAGTCCCTCTCCTTCATGTTCTTTTGAGCCTATTTCCCCTCTTTGTGTGTGTGTGTGTGTGTGTGTGTGTGTGTGTGTGTGTGTGTAGGTTTTTGTTTGTTTTAGACAAGGTTGCATGTAGCCTAGGCTAGCCTTGAACTCATTGTGTAGCTGAGATGACCCTGAACTTCCAATCCTCTTGCTTCTAACACCAGAGTGTTGGGATTACAGGAGTGGGCCACCATGTGAAACTATATGTCTCTGTTTGAGACAGACAAGGACTACAGTTGAAAATGAAAAGGGTTAAGTAGAATGTATAAAAAAAGAAAGAAGATTGGAGAAGAAAAGGAAGAAGGAAATTGCTAGTGATTTGTTCATAACGATGGCTGTAAATAAATGTTTCATACTGACAAAATCACTCTTGTCTGAATGCCTCTGCTATAAACAGAATCCAAAGTAAAAGTCCCTTTAGTTTGGTTTCTGCCTCATTATTCTCTGAAACCTCCCTCCATTCATCGTGACCAATGGAACAATCCATGGCACCATCATTTCCCCTCACCTTTCTCCAGGACCTTACTGGACTGTCTGAAAACTCAATCTCATCCTAAAACTGTCCCCTCTCTTGGCTCCAAGGATAACATAACCTCCTAGGCGAGCTTTCCCATCTCCCCAGAGGGGTGTGGCTTTGTCCCAGGTGATGCTGTCAGCAAGGGTTAAAACTATGCTTTGGGCTGGAGCATTGACAATGTCTGACCTCGTCTGAAAAACTGAACTGACCCCACAGTTATTCTCTGACCTCCATGCATGTGCCATAGGAACTCCCCCACAATACCTATCATGCACTCATGTGTACAATAATAAGTGATTTTAAAAAGTGAACACTGTACAGAAAGATTATTTAATAAAATCGTGGAATGGAGAGATTTTGGAAATAACAAAATTCACACATGTTTTCCATTTAAGATTTATTGTTTGAAAATGTGAAACATGTATATACTGTGCTTTCGTGAAGTCCAGCCCCCATTCCCCCTAGCCCCTCCCATACTCCCCCACTTTACCCTCCCAACTTCTTGTGTTCTAATCCAGTGACTCCACTTAGTGCTACCAGTGTGGGGGTTTCTGGGGGCACGTGGGGCCAGCAATGATCCCAGAGAAGCAAGAAGGAAATCAGGCTCAGCAAGACTTAGCTAGGGCTGGTTCAAACTTTTAGAGTTTGACTGACCCCATGCAGTTTACTGCAAGCATATTTAAATAAACACAGTACAATTTGGGGAAAAACTTTCCCGGTGTAACACAATCCTCTGTGCACAAGGAGGCATAATTGCATTGAAACTCAATTCAAAGTAACTCCATTTCTTCCAAGAAGATGGGTTCTAGAGATAGAACCTGTATTAGCTGAAGGGCCTAGGAAGGGGTCTGGTCTGGTCTCAGTCATACAGATAGCACAGAGGTCATTTGGGCTATTAGCTCCCTCTGGTCCTAGCTGGGGGAGCCTGGGGGAGCCTCTAGCCATACAGATAATGCAAAGGTCACTTAGACTATTAGGTATTGCAAATCCCGGTTGTGGGAGGTTGGGATGGTCTGGCAATTCAGATAAAACCAGGCTATTAATCAACTCCACTCCCAGTTATATGGGTGGAAAATCAGGTTATATATCATTCTCTTTAAAAAGACAGCCTTGCAAACATTCCTGGTGTTCTTAGTGATCTGAACATGTAAGGACCTTTATGCTCCCAACACTGCCAGTATGAGCATGGGTTTTCTGGACAGGACAGTGCTGCCACACATAGAAACTCACATGGACTGTGACTGCACTTCCAACACCTGCACACGGTCAAGCCAGATAGGAACTGTGGCATAGATAACGGAGGGTCTCACAAAGTAGTGTTCCTAGCTGGGTAGCTATCGGCAACTGATGGCTGCTGGGGATGGGAGAATGAAATTTTTTTTACTATATTACATTTATTTATTTATGCATGTGTGCGTGCATGCATGCATGCATATGTGCGTGCGTGCGTGCGTGCGTGTGTGTGTGTGTGTGTTGTGTACCTGTGCAATTACCTCAGCACTTGTGTGAAGATCAGAGGACAACTTGCAGAATCAATTCTTTCCTTCTACTATATGGGTCCCAGAGATCACTGTCAGGTTGTCAGGCTTGGTGACAAGTACCCTTATCCACCGAGCCATCTTGCTGGCCCACCTTCTTGTCTAACTAAATTTTATTTATTATTATGAGGTGTGTGTGTGTGTGTGTGTGTGTGTGTGTGTGTGTGTGTGTGTGTGATGTATGACCGTGGGCAGGCACTCATGGACCATTGTACATATTCTGTTTTGCTTCTGTTACTATGATAAAACACTTACCAAAAGCAACTTGGAAAGGAAAGAGTTTATTTCATCTTACAAGTTACAGCCCATTAGTGCAGGGCAGGGTTTTGAGGTGGCAGAAACTGAAGCAAAGACCATACAGGAGTGCTGCTTACTGGCTTACTCTCCACGGCATGCTCAGCTTGCTGTCTTGTAAACCGGGACCACCTGCCTAGGGGACGCACCGCCCACAATGGCAGGGCCCTCCCACACCCGTCTTTAATCAAGAAAATGCCCCACAACATGTCTATGGGCCAATGCAATAGAGGCAAATCCTTAGATGAGTGAGGTTCTCTTTTCCCAGGTGACCTCATTTTTATCAAATTGACAAAATCTAACCAGCACAGTGCATATGGAGAAGTCTGAGGAGCACTCTGGGGAATTAGTTCTCTTTTTCCACGGGGATGGGGTGGGGTTTCCAGAAAATGAACTTAGGTCATCAAACTTTCACTGTAAGTGCTTTTACACACTGAACTGTCTTGCAGGCCTGCAATCCATTCTTTATAAAGGGAAGAAGTTAAAAGCAGGGCCTACACCCATGGAGTTTAGAAAGCAAAGAGGAGGGTTTTTTTTTTAGTGTAGCCGCTAAGTGATATAACTACATGAGTACTGAACCATCCTAATTACTCCCTCATGAGTATAGACAGTGTTCTAAATCCTAGCTAACTTTTAAGATCAATGGGTTGTGGACAACGATTATGATTTTTTATTGATTTTATGAGACAGGGGTTTCTCTGTATTGTTTTGGAGGCTGTCGATTGCAGGCATGAGCCACCATGTTTGACTTTATTTTTTTGTTTGTTGTTTTAACAATATTAGTGTGGAAAGGTAGGTAATCTAACAATATTAGTGTGTAGAGGTAGGTAATTTAAGCCAGGCGTGGTAGTTTGTATCTGTAGTCCTAGTAGTTGGGAGGCTGAGGCAGAATGGTCCAGAGTTTAGAACCAGCCTGGGTTACAGGACACCCTGTCTCAAGATGGGGAAAAGGTAACCCTGAGTGATTGAGGGTAACACACCTAGTCACAACACTTCTGTTAGAACCAGCCTGGGTTACAGGACACCCTGTCTCAAGATGGGGAAAAGGTAACCCTGAGTGATTGAGGGGAACACACCTGGCCACAACACTTCTGTTAGAACCAGCCTTTCCTCTTAACAGTATTTCTCACACTAGGTTAAAGTGCTCTGAGGGTCACTGTCAAATTTCAGATTAAATCTAGGGCATGGTACAAATATCTGGTACTTGCTGCTGGGACTGGCTTACTGGAAGTCAGTGGCAGTGCAGTATGAGTCCTAACCCTCAGGAGAGTGACCTCTTTGTCATCTTTGGAACAGAGATGTAATAGCCTGTCACAGAGGCACAACCTTGCACAGATCCTTCATCCTTCATCCATTCCAGGGCGACACAAACGCTCCTCCGTGTAGGTCATCTCATAGAGGTGACAAGAATGAAGTCAGGCCGTGGCAGCTGCTGCATGGCTTTCGCTGTGAGTGAGGAGACAAACAGTTGAGGCCAAGCTATCTGCCTAGAAAGAATGTGCCCATGCAAGGGGAGAATTATGACGAGAAAGACACATTGATCCTATCTCCACATTAGTCAGGAAAAGTGGGAAAGGGGTTATGAGATGGAGCTGTTGGCTTGCTGCGTACGTCTAGTAGACTGTGCGGGAGGGGGTTATGCTAAAGAGCCTTTCTTAGGGTCCAAAATCTTGGTACCCGTGGGAAGGAATTGGATAGTGAGTATATTATCACTTCTCTGATAAAACATCATGACCAACGCAGAGAGAATCCACTTGACCTTGTAATTGGCTTGCAGTTCCAAAGTGGTAAGAGCCCATCAGCGTGGGGAGGCATGGCTGTGGAGCAGTAAGCTGAGACACTATATCCTCAACCACAAGCACGAAGCAGAGAGGGAAAACTGGAAGTAGGATGAGGCTATGTAATCTCAAACCCTGGCCCTCGTGGCATGCTTCCTCCAAGGAGGCTACCTACACCTTCTACACTTCCTTAAACAGTTGCAACTGGGGATGAAGTTCAGATATCTGTGAGCATGTGGGGGCTAATTCTTTTTTTTCTTTTTTTGGTTTTTCAAGACAGGGTTTCTCAGTATTGTTTTGGAGGCTGTCCTAGAACTCGCTCTGTAGACCAGGCTGGCCTCGAACTCACAGAGATCCGCCTGCCTCTGCCTCCCGAGTGCTGGGATTAAAGGCGTGCGCCACCAATGCCTGGTTTGTGGGGGCTAATTCTTATTCAAGCCATCACAATGAGGAAAAGTAGAAGTATTAGAGATTATCACCTAGGTCTGACTTTGAATAGAAAGAAAAGAAAAGAACAAAGAAATAAACTCAGCCGGGCATTGGTGGCACACACCTTTAATCCCAGCACTCGGGAGGCAGAGGAAGGCGGATCTCTGTGAGTTCGAGGCCAGCCTGGTCTACAAGAGCTAGTTTCAGGACAGCCTCCAAAGCCACAGAGAAACCCTGTCTCGAAAAAACCCAAAAAAAAAAAAAAAAAAAAAAAAAAAAAGAAAGAAGCTCATGGTTCAGAATACAGAGGCCCACTACAAGAAACCATGATAATCAGCGAGCATGCCCGATCTGAATTGCTTGACTTGGGATGTATTTATTTGTTTGTTTATTGACTGAGGGGGAGAGGCTCATAAGGCTGTGATACCTGGGGCCAGATTGGACCAGTTTGAGGAAGTAGAAAGGTTGGGTAAAACAGCTACCCATCCCTCTTTAAGATAAAGCTGTCTCAACCTCAAGCACTGATGGGCTTACTGGAACCGAGTTCACAGGATAATTTAAAAAGAACCTGAGCTGGACACGGTGGCACACAGGTGGAGATCGGACGACAGCCTGCATCTTGCCTGCCACCATGTTGAAGGAGGGTCAGGAGAATTGGGCCATCCAGGAAAGCAGGGATGGGCCCCATCAAGAGGGGCTGCCTGTTGCTTCTGGGGTTGTTCCTTGCCGTGATACCAGCTGTTACAAACGGCTCACCCTGGGGGAAAAGAGCTTACCTGAGAGAGGATACTGTGGGTGAGACAAATGA